ATCCCATCCCATCCCATCCCATCCCTATTCCTATTCCATTCCATTCCATTTGATCTCCTGCTTGGGCAGGGGGCTGGACTAGAAGACTTCCAAGGTCCCTTCTAACTCTATTATTCTATTCTATTCTATTCTATTCTATTCTATTCCACTCACTCCACTCCACTCCACTCTCTATTCCTATTCCTTTCTCTTCTCTTCTTCCCTTCTCTTCTATTTTCTTCTCTTCTATTTATTCTATTCTATTCTATTCTATTCTATTCTATTCTATTCTATTCTACCCTATTCCCTATTCCCTATTCCCTATTCCCTATTCCCTATTCCCTATTCCCTATTCCCTATTCCCTATTCCTATTCCATTCCATTTGATCTCCTGCTTGGGCAGGGGGCTGGACTAGAAGACCTCCAAGGTCCATCCCAGCTCTCCTCTGATTCTGATCTTCTAGGCCATCCTATCCTATCCTTCAACCGATGTCACCAAACCTGGCTAACCAACGGTTCAGAAGCTAAACACCAAGCCGGGAGAACAAGCCCCCATCAGCGGACCAAGGCCCATGTGGCCTCCCTGCGGACCAGGAATGTCAGGGATCGGGCCCACTCACGCTTTGCCCCCTCTTGCCTCCCACTCCCAGGGCAACTGCATCACTTGTGACGGGAGGGACGACAGCAAAGAATACGCCAACATCCGGGCGGCCATGAAAGTCCTCATGTTCACCGACACGGAGAACTGGGAAATCTGCAAGCTTTTGGCCTCCATCCTGCACATGGGAAACCTGCGATACGAAGGTTAGGCGGCGCCTCTGTCGATGTGAAGGGAGGGAGTAGGGATTCTACCACTCCTTTGTAACATTTCCCCCCCCCCTTTCCAGTTCGTTGTTAAGAGGGGGATATTTGTAGCTCAGGGTTGAAATGAGGGGGTCCTTGGTGCTCTCTGAGCTGGGTGGTTTTCCTTGCAGACGTTTCATTACCCAGCTAGGTAACATCATCAGTGCTAGAAAGGAAAGAGGTTGTGGAAAGGAGGAGGAGGAGGATTGTGGGGCCCTTGGTGCTCTCTGAGCTCGGTAGTTTTCTTGCAGACGTTTCATTACCCAGCTAGCTAACATTATCAGTGCTAGAAGGGAGTTGGGTGCATGGGATAGAAGAGGAGGAGGAGGAGGAGGAGGAGGAGGANATTCCCTTCCCTTCTCTATTCCTATTCTTAATTCTCTTCCCTTCCCTTCCATTCCATATGTTCTCTTCTTTTCTCTTCTCTTCTCTTCTCTTCCCTTCCCTTCCCTTCCCTTCATTGGATTTTTTTGGATCTAATGCCCCATTTAAACCTGGTTGGCTTATTGCAATCCTGGTTACAACTTTTTCTGCCCTCTCTTAGCTTTTGGGAACGCGAAGACCATTCGTAACGACAACTCGAGCCGGTTTGGGAAATACATCGACATCCACTTCAACAAGCGAGGAGCGATTGAGGGAGCTAAAATCGAGCAGTACCTGTTGGAGAAATCCCGCGTCTGTCGACAGGTAAGGATACCTTACAGGCACCTCCCCCTTAGGTGTAAAAGGAGTCCTCGACTTATGGCTGTTCATTTAGTGACCAGTCAAAGTTACAACGGCACTGGGGGGAAAAGAGACTTATATAGCCGTTTTTCACAAGACTGTTGCGGTATCCCCTGTGGCCACGTGATCAAAATACGGACGCTTGCCAAGTGACTTGTAGTTATGACGGCCACGGTACACTTGGTTCACGGGATCCCCTTTTGCGACTCTCTGACAAAGTCAATGGGGAAGCCAGATTCGCTTAACGACCGTGTCGCTAGCTTAACAACCACAGTGATTCGTTTAACAACTGTGGCATGAGAGGTTGTAAAACAGGGCAATACTCACTTAACAACTGTCTTGCTCAGCCACAGAAAGTTATGGTCGTAAGTTGAAGACTATCTGTATCCACTCCCCCCAACTTCTCAGCAAGGCCGTGGGGTGGGTGGGGGGAACTCTGCTTGTTGAGTGATGTCCTACCTTGCAAGACTGGTGGGAAGGAGAGAATCCAGATCTGATTATTAAAACAAGACAGACAAGCAGCAACGGATGGAAATTAAACAAGGAGAGAAACAAACCTAGAACTAAGAGGAATATTCCTAATAGTGAAAACAATTAAGCAGCGGAACTACTGGCCACCAGAAGTTGTGGGTGCTCCATCACTGGAGGCGTTTAAGAAGAAACCAGGCAGCCATTTATCTAGAATGGTAGAGGGTCTCCTCCCTGAGCAGGGGGTTGGGCTAGAAGACCTCCAAGGTCCCCTCCAATTCTCCTGTGATTCTATCTTCTAAAGTTTCCCCTCTCCTTCGTTCTTTTTCCTCAGGCTCAAGAGGAGAGAAATTATCACATATTTTACTGCATGCTGAAAGGAATGAGCTCGGAGCAGAAAAAAATGCTGGGACTTAAAAAAGCGACGGATTATAACTATCTTTCCATGGTAAGAGGTTAAAAAAAAATAACAATTTTTTTTGAATCTCCTTTTTCTGCAATGAAGAGGAATGAGGGCCTGGTTTGAAGGCTAAAACATGAAGAACGGTTGCAGGAACTGGGTATGTCTNTCTCCTGGTGATTGGCCCAAAGTCACCCAGCTGGCTTTCACGCCTAAGGCGGGACAAGACCTTCTTACTTAGCGATGGAAATTCGGATCCCGTCTGCAGGCGTAAACTCACCGACTGCCTGCACCTGTGGGTTACAACCTTCAATTATTTCACAGGAAGTCCTCAGCGACAACTGAGCCCCCGATTTCTGTTGCTAAGTGAGACTTTTGCTCAGTGGAAAACCTTTTTGCCCCAGTGGCTCAGTGGACCACGGCAGCTGGCAAGTTAGTAACCCGGTCGCTAAGTGAATCCGGCTTCCCCAATGACTTCGCACGTCAGAAGGTCACCAAAGAGGATTGCCTGAACCATCCACCCACCCATCCACCCCGTTCCGGGGACGCTGCAACCCGTCATAAATCTGAGTCAGGTTTGCCAAGCCTCCGGATTTCGATCCCCTGACCCTGAAAATGACGGACGCCAACGGATGCAAGTGTGAAACGCAGCCCTGTGTCCCTTTTTTCCCCAGCCCCTTCGTAGCTCTGAACGGTCACTCAGTGGAAGCGTCGCAAGCCGAGGACTGCTTGTTCATCCGTTTCTGAAAATTGCAGCCTGCGCGAAGCTTTTGCTTCCTTAAGTGCTCTATGGAAAAAAGAAGGAGGGGAATAAAAATAAAAGGCCAGCCTGAATCCTTGGTAGATTCAGAACGCTGGGAGGAATCACGAGGTCAGCGAAAAGAGATCCATATATCCTATAATGGTCCCGAGAGGCCAATCCTTCAGATCTGATCTGCTAAACGCTTGGCAATGCCCCCTTCCAAAGATACCACCGAGCCCGGATCCTACTTTCCAACCCATTTGCCCAAAAAAATAAAAAAGTAAAAAAACAGGCTCGTAGCAGAGCTGGAAGACACCTTGGAGGTCATCTAGCCCAACCCCCTTGCTCACGCGGGAGACCCGCACTAGGGATTCGAACCGCTGAACTGCCGACCCTTTCAGATCGAGAAGCTCAGCATCTTAGCCGCTGAGTCCTCCCCGGGTCAGAATCTCTCCCGCCTGCAAGTCTTACGACGGATCTCGTCCTAAATGGAAAGGGTTGTCAGAAAGAGGAGCAAAGGGTGTTTGGGAGGGGAGATGCTCTGAGCTCCTGCACCAAGGACCCCATCATCTTCTTCTTCTTCTTCTTCTTCTTCTTCTTCTTCTTCTTCTTCTTCTTCT